CTTTTTTTTAATAAAATATTTAGATTCATCAATAAAAAAATTAGAATGTTAAAATATAATAAAATAAATAAATCAAGTATCTTAATTTTTATAATTAGTATATAAGATTATAATGTTATTGAGAATCATCGAGAATCATCGTAATTTCATTTTATAATTGAGGCTTAGGTCTTTCTCCTTTTATTCAATTTTTATATGGTAATAACTAATGGGTCATATTACTCTCTAATTTTATTATTTATAAAGATTGGTTTTTTTCTAATAAAAGATGAAATATAATCTATTATAATAATTTTTTAGACACTCTATCAAGCAACTCACTGTTAATTTTAAGTTTACACCTATTTATAATATCATACCATGTAAAATTAAGATAAAATTTAGACTTATTTAAATCACATAGTTTTATTAAGTTTTACTAATTTTTCATTTGATCTAATTTTAAAAAAACCAAGTACAATAAGTTAAAATCCACATAAAATTTCCAACATGCATATCATATCTCCTTTTTCTTTTTCCTTTTTTTTTTTTCTATTGTCAAACTCTTAGTAATCTGTTGCTGTTACAGTGGGACGGGTTTTTGTTGCTGTTGCACCATTGCCGGCTGTTCCAGTGAGGCTTCATCTTTTTGTGGCTGATCAGCCTATTAGTTATATCGTATATTTCCAGTGCAGTGATTCCATTTCTGTTTCAGATGTGTGATTATATGTTTCATGTGTGACTGCATGTTTGAAGTAAAAGCTTGAATACTATTGTAGGATCATATTGATTATTATCAGACTTCTTTATTTCTTCCTTCAATCTCTGGTATTTCTTTTCCCTTCCAGTTCCCTACGCCCTGATGCAATGGCGGAGATAAGGGGGGCGTGGGGGGCCTGCGGGGCCCAGAGACCCCCCCCCCTCCCCCACAAATATTGAAAAGAATTTATGTTAAAATTTTAAAGTTAAATAAATTTAGTATATATTTGTTCATTTCAAAAATTAAATAAAGGACCCTGATGTGGGCACACCCGGATCCCACACCCGGGTGTGCACACACCATATAAAAAAAAAAACATGGATCGGGTGTGGATCTTTTTTTTTTTTTTTAATGGGGTGTGTGCACACCCGGGTGTGGGATCCGGGTGTGCACATATCTTTATCCTTAAATAAAATATATTTAGTCAAACATTTTTTTTTATATTATTTGCATAATGGGAGACAACCTTCTTTTATCTTTTATTTCACCTCACCTGTATGCTATGCGATTTGAACTTAAGACTTCTTACTTCCAATGAAAGAAGATTATCACTGAGAGTTATTTAAGTAATTGACTATTTAATCAAACATTTTAGACTTTGAAGGAGAATAAAAGTTATATAGCTCTCATTATATTTAATTTTTTTAAGTTAATTAACTACATTTAATTACTTACTTTCCTTCTTTCATCCAAA